ATTTAAATTAAATTTGTGTATGTTTCCAATATGCAAAAGTTTTTTAGGTAAATCTCGAAACCATTTTTTAAAGGTGTCTTTGAGATAATTGCAATAGTGGTCATTTAAATCTTCTTCACCAAATCTTTCAGCGAGTTCTTCAAGTATAAGATCTCATTTTTCATTAATGTAGCTATAAAAGTTAATAGCTGGTATTTCTTCTTCCTCTTTTCAAATGAAGTGTTTTTCGTATACCTTTTTTAAATTTTCAGCAATAATCTCTAATACATATTGCTGGTTTTCCGGTATTAATACAAGGAATCACTCTTTATCTGCTGTCGCTATTATGGATTCAGATGCATCTAATCAATCAAATCCAGTTGCCTCTTTAACATCTCGCCTAATAACTTCGTTAACAGTATCCTCTAATTCACCTTTTATGAGTCATCTTAATTTTTTATCCACCATAACACTTCTTTAAAACCTCCCCATAAGTTTTAATTCTTATAAAACTTAAAAATAGATAAAATAATTTTTAAATAGATCATGCACGTTAGATTTAACGAAGAAATAATCGTTATCTGTGGACCGATGTACTCTGGAAAGAGTCACTCCATAATGTTCCACATTGAAAAACTAAGATATGCGAAAATTCCTTACATGGTTTTCAAAGCTAATATTGATAGATTTAGCGATGAAATAGGTTCTAGATATAAAGACACTAAAGAAAAAGCTGTTTCTATTGATATTAAGAATCCAAAAGATATCTTTAAACATATAGATCCTAAAAACGTAAAACTACCTTTCACTGTAATCATTGACGAAGCTCAGTTCTACTCTGATGAAATATACGATGTTGTTAAAGAATTAGCTAAAGCTGGTATTAGCGTAATTATTTCAGGATTAGACCTAGATGGTAAGATGCAACCATTTGGTCCTATGCCAAAATTAATGGCTATAGCTACTCAAGTAATTAAAACTACTTCTGCATGTACAAGATGTCAAAATATAGCTACTAAAACAGCTGCAGCTATCCAAAAAGAAGAAGTTATTAGAGTTGGAGAAGAAGATCAGTTCTTTCCTGTATGTACACAATGCTGACACAAACACAACGAAGGAAGTAACTAAGTTACTTTAACTTCATCATATCTATAAACACCTTCTTAACTTTAGGAACAAACTTAGTTATCTTTACTCCCGCTAAATTAAGTAAGTATCTAGAAGCAACCATATAGTCTTCATCATGATACTTATCAGATCAATATATAACTTCTTTAATTCCACACTGTATTAATACTTTAGAACACTTATTACATGGAAATAGAGTTACGTAAACTCTACATCCATGTATATCTGAAGAATTCTTATTTAATACAGCATTAAGCTCGGCGCAGCACATATAAGGATCTTTAGTCTCTAATCAATTCTCTGATTTACTATTCCAAGGAAAGTCTTCGTCTTTACATCCTATAGGTAATCCGTTATATCCAACCCC